GCTGGGAATCTCTTGAGAGTCTTTAAGGCATGTTCATAAATCAGATCTTCATTTTTATCCTTACAACATCTAGCAAAATCTTACGGAGACAGACACGGAAAAACGCGTAACCATGTGAATGGTTTTGTGACACAATCGAAGACAATCCAAACTCAAGTTTGGTTCTCTGATGAAGAGCAATTTCTGCTTTCAGGTCATGTAAACAGCAAAAAACAATATTTATTGGGGTGCAGCAGTACAGCGGGGGATGTGTTACAGAGGCCGTTACACGCAACAAACTGCACAGTCTGGGTTGTAATTTTTAAACATGGCATTATCAACCCATATTGGTTTGAAGACGAAAATGGGAGGTCTCAAACAGTGAATGTGGAGTGCTATATGGCAGTGCTGAGGAAGCTTAGGGCATCACTAAGACAACGCGGGGGGGTGCAGATCGACATGAACATTTGTTCCAGAATGACGGGGACAATATTCAGTCACCCCCCCCCCACGAGGGTGTCATGTGGCACAAGGACTTTTTAACGTGGGCATTCCCAAGCCATTAGGCTCGGCCAAAAAATAGCCCATTTGAACCCGTATAAACGGGTTCTGGGCCGGTTTTACCTCCCCGAAGGAGACTCCGCCCTTCGGCGTAGCCTCCTTCGGGTTCCTCCCGCCCGTAGGAAGAGAGTTTAACCGAACAGTCGGTTCAGAGGTGAATGACGGGGACACCCACTACACGTGAAATGACTCCCTAGCCTGGCTGAGAGAACGATTTCAGGAGCGACTGATCAGCAGGAAGTGTGACGTTGAGTGGGCACAGCCCTCACCAGACTTGAACCCCACAGATTTTTATCTTTCGTGGTATCTCAAGGATAATGTGTACCAGAACAACCCTCAAACCATTGATGAACTGAAGGCAGCAATCACAACAAAAATCAAGGAAATCCCCAAAGAGGAATGCGTCCGAGTAATTGACAATTTTGCGTGACGTTTGCAAATTTGCCTCCAACGTCGCAGAGCCCATTTGGAGCATATTTTGGAAAGAACATGGCTTTTATGCAAAGCGACCAATTGAACTAAAACTTTGGCAAATGATCGTACATAGAAGGACGTGTAAATCCACAAAGTTTCTTGAAGTTAACTGGACCTTTGTAGGATTTATTACAATATTTATGAGTTCTGTTTTTGGTGGTCACCTTGTATTACATTTTAAATATATACACATATATACTCGAATGTTATATTATAAATACGTTATATTATATTATACGTTATATTATATTATACGTTATCTATATGATAGTAAATGTCTATGATTACATGCAATGCTTGCGTGCTTGTGTGGTGTGTCTGTCTGGCGCATAAGGATTTAAGTTAATTTGATTTTTAAAAATATTTTAAGTGAATGTGATTTAAAAATACGAGTTATTTATAGAGTAAATAGTTTTATTTTAACTTTTTTCAAACAGACAATTTTTTTAATTGAAATATTTTTTAAGTTAAAGACTGAAACAAAGCGATCACGCTTTGTTGTTTGTAGAGTAATTATTTATATTTCAGCTTCCATTAAACAAATTTTAAATATTTAGAAAAATTAGTTTTTGGCATATTCATAGAATATTTTCAAGTGGATATGATTTAAAAATATTTTTTTGATATATTGAAAAAATATTTTTAAGTTAATCTGATTTAAAGTTCAAGTTTATCCCGGAAGTTCTATTCTCATTAAATGCTTTAAACAATCAGTAAAGCGATAAACATCAGCTTGCAAACCAAACCAAGGACGACACGAATGAATTAACTTTCATTTCAATGGGATGCTGAAATGAATTTAAAATCTTTATACGTTATAATATAATATAAATAGGATATATATATATATATATATATATATATATATATATATATATATATATATGTTATACGTCATATTATAGATATATATATTATATATTATACGTTATAACATATTATGAATATATATTATATGTGATATGTTATATTATATTATAAATATATATATATATGTTATAAGTTATATTATAAAAAATATATATTTATTATATATATGTTATATGTTAGACGTTATATTATATTATAAATACCTTATATTATCAATACGTTATATTATATATAAATTATGTTATACGTTATATTATACTATAAAATATATATTATATATATATATATATATGTTATACATTATATTATATTATAAATATATATATATTATATATGGTAAATGTAATATTATATTTTATATATATAGATATATATATATATATATATATATGTCATGCGTTATATTATAAATATATATAAGTTATACGTTATATTATATTATAAATACCTTATATATATATACTATATATTATATTATATTATATTATATATATATATATATATATATATATATATTATATGCTATTCGTTATAATATATTATAATTATATATATTGTATATATTATATGTTATACGTTATATTATGTTATTAATACGCTATATTATTATACACGC